CTATCCTTGAAGAATAAGAAAATTTTCAAACATGCTATGACTCAGAGAATATAGCACTTCTGTATAATTCTAGGAAAATTATTAGATAATGAAATGCAACTAAACAAGACATCAATTAAAACAAAACAAAACAAAAAAACTTGAGAAAATTGAGCCATGGCAAAGGGTTTGGTGGAGATAATAAAATTCTTTCACATTCAAGTCTAAGGCTAAACAACTGCAAAACAGGACTACCGATAATAACCTTGATGATATACAAAGAAAGAAAAATCCAACATATGTATAGGCAGAGACAGAAAGGTAGGAAGCAATATGAAGGTGGGAAGAAATGCCGTTCTCATCTTTTCCTGTAGGAAGTCAGTGGATACCATTATAGTGAATAAAGGTTCTCCATTTTCATACTCTTTCCTCCCTCCTATTTTTCTTTTTCTTTTTCTTCTCTCTCTCTCTCTCTCTCTTTTCTTTTTTTTTTTTGAGAGGTTTTTTTTTTTACAGGGCACATGTGCTCACCAAAGAGACAGAGCGAGGCAGAGAGACAGAAAGTGAGAAATCACCCCCCAGGGGGGATGACCACACCACAATCCCTTCTCTATTCTCCTCTCGGAATCCTAGGCACACATGCACACGTGCCCGGCGTGAGTTTAAGCCACCAGGCCCAGGACTCGAACTATGGTCGACTACATGGGAGTTCAGCAACGTAGCCATTACACTAGCTGCTGGTCCCCCTATTTTTCTTTTTCTTAATCAGCCAGACCCCCCTCTTCTCCCCTCCCTTTGCCTTCCCTTTCTACTATTTCTTCTTTCTGACAGGATCTTGCCATGTTATGATCCTCCTGCCTCAGCCTCCTTGCTGGGACCACCATTCCTAGCTCTTTTTCAGACAAGGTCTTGCTATGTTGCCCATGCAGTCTCAAACTCACACTCCCACTGCTTCAGCTTCTTGAGTTGCTGGGACTACAAATGCACCCACCACTCCTGGTCTTTACGTTGGTTTGAAATTTAAACCTGGGCCTCCCTTGTGGTCTCAGCCTGCAGAGTATATGTCTCAACAGCATGTACCACCGTGATTGGCCCTAAATGTTCGTATTTGCTGTGTTTTTGCTGGTCTGGTATTTAAGCCTTAATCTAGGAAAAACTGTCCTTCTCAGAGCTAGCTAATTTCTCAAGATAGGAAATAACTCTCTTTCAAGTGTGTTTTTGATACATAAACTAACTAACCCACACACCAACCATCTCCTTTATTAAATTCTCACATGCCAAGTCAATATTTTCCCTGCCCTAAGTCACTCCA